GGTGCCCTGTTTCTGTGAGACTCCAACGGTTGAGTGCGTAGTACCGTCCCCCGTCGGCCGTGAAGGCGTCGAATGAAACCTCCTGCGAGTACAATGATCAAGGCACGGACTTGAGGTACAGCGCGGGGATGTTTATCATCTTAAGGCGCGCAATGAGCGCGCGCCCCGCACTCGGAGAAGACGATACGGCAGCCGAGTAGATGGCGATGGCGCGGCCAGTACGAGGCTTTGAGTTGCTATCTCAGACTCTCAATGTCTCGAGAAGATGATGCGCTCTAGTGAGCGCACACGAACGGAATGAACCATCGTGTGATCGAACACAACTCGGGGCCCGAGTGCGAGTCCTGCGAGTCTTGCTATCGTCTAGGCACTACATCCACTTTTGTAGTCAATAGTGCATTATTGCCGCGTAGATCTTTGATGGGAGTGCTTAGACGGCCCAGAAAGCGCAGATCCCATAGACAAAAGGACATTTCCCGAATGTTTCTGAATGCCAAACAATCTGAGCTCGCTGAACGATGTCCGTCGACGTAATCCCCGCTGGTCCAGGCGCGCCGCAGATAGAGTGCGGATAGTTGCACTACAGTAGGCCCAAACAATCCATTAGCGGAAAGGTTCCAAAGAGCAAACATGGCTAGTAGCGTGAGTACAGTACGAGGCCGGTCAGGGACGATGGTGGGCGTGCAACACGGATTGACCGGGAGCACTGTCGCACGAGCGCTCGGAGTACATCTGGAGACAAGTAAAACAAAGAAGTCAGTCCTGTAACCTGCTGAAAATGGGGACAAAATAGGGTCTCTCACAGGAATACACGATCGAGATCCTACGAGTCTGAGGTCCCCATTTGCTGCGCTCTCTGTAAGACCACCATGCCTTCGCCAGAAGGGTGTACTTTAGGCAATGATTCCGAGGCCAGCCAGCTTGAACGGTAGATAGGTCTTTCCGGTTCAATGCACGGCTGATCATCGGCCAGGAAGGTTGCCACCCTTTCGTGAAGGCGCCATGCCCTGAGCTTCCCATGGAGGTAGACTTCAATGTCAAGGGCCTGGTGGCATCTGGCGGTGAGCAGAGGCCCAGGAGTACACTCATGGGGACTATAGGTCGAAAACGGAGAGCCATCCGGTGCCGAGCATGGAGTATCTCGTTTTCCTAAGCGCCTGGGGTTAATTTCAGGGTCTGTCGATGATGTAGCGTAGACACGGGGCGCCTTGCGCGTCTACTGTGGCTTAGCTTGTCCTCTCCATCTTCCGCGACGTACGAGTATGACCGCGACGATGATGGCAGGCCGACATCTGTCATCTCTGCACAAGAGACATCGGCGCGTGAGCCAGGATGGCCATCCACTAGCGTGCGATGCTGTGTAGAAAGCATTTAGCGGCGATTTTTTCATCACCCGCGATGGACATGATAGACAGGACATACGCGCTGCATGATGTGCTTGCGGCGAGCTCGGAGCGGCTGGTCCGAAGGATGAATGATAGGATCGCGTACAGGGTGCCGCAGCTCGCACCGAAGCCAGAGGCGCAGCTGAGATTCGGGGCCAACGAGGTCCTCGTCGCGGTGAGCGGCGCAAAGAGGTACGGCTTCTCGTGATGGAAATTCCCGTCGTTGCCATCACGAGTACGGGTCATTTTCGTCCCTGTTGTATGTAGGTTTGCCTATCCGATGACCAGGGACAGGAGCAGTCGGTGAGATTCTAACTGGGATCGCAGTGTTTGCCAGCGTCGTTCGCGGTACCGGCACTATACATATTCCGCAGCAGTCGCGTACGAATGCTTGCACCTCACATTATCGTTATCCTCGATCGAAGCATGGGAGATTCATTACTTGTAAGCATTCACGCGCACAGCGTGGGCAGGAGAGGAGAGGGAGCTGTGTCACAAGCTCCCGCAGATGTGCAAATAGGTGCCAAACTCCTTATAGTAAGGATGGAACAAGCCCATGCAAATGTATTTGAAACCTGTATCGCGGGTAGTCAGGGGGGCCAAGGCGAGCCTGGGCACGCTCAAGAGTAGAATGATAGTTCACAGCAACAGTAGGTCCATGGAGTATAGAGCATACCGCCGTGGCGACGGTTAGATCGTCCAATTCGGAAGTCTGGCCATGGATGCCGGAAACGGCCGAGTTTGTTTCCAAATCACGCAGTGCGCTCGCTCAGGTCTGTAGCCACCCATGGAGTTCTCTTCACATGTATTTCTCGTCGACTGCTATAGGCACAGGATGACGATGAGCGCTCTTATTCATGAAGCAACCATGAAGCCGACGGTGGGCTCGATCCGTCGTGACACACAGGTTCCTACAGCGGGTATGTCAGGACAGCGCGTAACGGAGTTGGTCTGGAATTACTTGCGATATTCGATCCTGAAGTCGTTTTTGTTTGATGTATACGATCACAATTCCTCGTTCGACGGCACAGAGCAGGCCTGCGGATCTCATGTAGCATGAAGTATCTCTTGTGAGCGTGATATCTTCGAGACTATCAGCCAAGATGATAGATTGGGTTACATCTGCGAGGCCAACCCGAGAAGACGCGGTTGTTAGTTCAAGCATCAGCGAGTAAATTTTAGCTTAGACTCACCATCGCACGCGACCGAACTCTCCCTCAATGTCGAAACTGATCTCGGTCTGGAGCGTCGCATTTCCGTAAGAGTCGCTATCGATGCCTGATTCACGCAGAGGCCTGCACCATGCTGCTATCTGAGGGTGCATTGAGCGTTCTCGATCCATAATTTACAAGATGTAGCCTCACATCATATAGGACGCCCCGTAGGATCATATCTGTGAGCAGACCCAGATAAAGATGGTCATGCATTATCCTGGAGCCTGCTATGTGGCGAATGAAACCGCAAGGCTTCTTGATTCCCCTTATGCTGAGCCATCAAGGACCTAATGACCCGCGAACACGTCCAAAGCCCAGGAATCTGCCTCAACCGTGAGCTTTCGCCGTCCATGTATCGTGACTAGGTGCCCTGGCCCAGGTCAGTGGAAGTCCGCCGTCGAAATCAGGAAGCTGCGAAGTTGAACTATGCTCCTGGGTCGGGATTGGCGTTCCGGCCAAAGAGTGCGGATCGAAGTGTCATAAAAGACTCATAGAGGGTGCGAGACGGGTGCAATATGTGGGGTAAGCAGTGAGATTGGGCACTCCGCCGGTGGAAGGGGAAGCTTGGACGTCTGGACCATGATGGCGGCGAGAAAGAAACAAGCGCATGCCGACTTTGCCCACGCCGCTGACGCGCGGGCCATGACCCGAAGCGCCTCTTGTCCCGCGCTTTGACCAGTGTTGACCACAACCACAACCACATGCATGTTCTGAAGTTCTGTATATAGTCACCAGCTTTTGCATCCGCTGTACTCTCTAGCTTTGTGTCTTCTTGCTGTATCTCGATATCTGACTGCTCGTGACCATGCCTCTCAGCCTCGACACATCCTCCGAGACATCATCTCTCCCATCTTCTGAATCGTGGTCTGCGTCCTCAGATGCATCGCCTCCTTCTCCCTCGAAATTGCGCCCAACCCATGCCCGAAAGCGCACTCAGAGCCGGCCTTTCTCGCGCGGAATAGATCCAACAGCTTTGAACGGCTGCATCATAACGCGCATCGTTCGCTCTCGGACACATCCTGCTGTCTCTCTATACACCATCGATGGCCGCTCCTTCCAAGTGCGCGTAGATGGATATGACCCAGTGCATGCTGGTCTTCCGCGCGAGATCGAATGCAATGCCGCGCTCGCGCCGCTCTTTGGTCCCAGTACTCCTATCTCCGCGACCACACCAACATCCGACTCGTTCCCGACGCACTCGAGGAATAAATCCGGCTCATTCTCGCGCAATGGCGGATCGATGGGACAAGAGAGCGGAACTACCGTGCGGCTCACAGTACAAGCTGCTCGGTATATCTCGATGAAGGACGCCGCGTTGAGTCGGGATGCGGTCGGGCAAGAGCTGCGGTGGAATGTTGAGCACTTGGCGCTGGCGTTCAAGTTTGCCGAGAAGGATGGCTGGCATTGCTGCTGGGCCAGCATGGCAGAGCGAGACGAATCCAGCGGCCAAACGGCGTATCGTACGTTCGACGACGTGTACGTCGAGGAAGTACCGCGGTCGCCAAGGAAGAGGAGGACGAGTGCGCGTTGAAGGAACACTATCTCAAGAACGAACCAAGCCAACTTTGGTAAATAACTCTAAACCTCGCCACTCCCTTCAAGATGCTGAACAATCGCTAGTACCACTATCCCATCTCAATCGCACCCACACGTATCGTCTATCAACGGACACAATCTTTGTTTTGACTTATTGCTCTCACTCCTGTGTAACATCGCTCTTATCGTTGCTGTTTCCCGTCACTTTGTTCCACTACCCCATATACAGAATGAAATCCCTATTCGTCTCACAATCACGACGTCGACGGTCATCGCACGCCTGTTAGGGAACTTGAATAGGTGTAGGGGCGAAGGCTTCCCGACTACTCCGAGCCGCGAATCGCTTGACCTTCCTCGCCTATTGCGTCTTGGGTTACTTGACCATCGTGAGGTTTAGTTGAATCTAGAAACGAGGTGGCTAACTGTGGCTCATAAGTTCTTCTGAACACCACATAGCTCTGCCTTGCAACAGCTCTGGATAACTGTGTATACGTCACGTAGCTTGCAAATGCGTATTCAGGAGATGTCATGCAGTGATATTTGCAACCTCTTGCCGACATTGCGCGTACGGTCGGACACCCGAATCGGCTGGGTTCCTTTGCTAACCGTTGAGACAATTCAGGCTAGCCTAGCGGAGTTCCCTCATGAGCGAAGGATGGGTAGTTCCATTGTCGGTGTCAGCAAGACAGAGAGACTGCCGCTGACAATGACTTCGGAGTCGTGTAAGTCCCATGTGCCCAGGCTCTTTAAGCATCACGCAGAAGTTCGGAAGGGAGGTTTCTCTGCTCTACATATCGCGCTGCTTACCTACTCGCACGCTTGTGTACCAATTCGGAGTTAAAAAAAATATTATCATCCTGGTCATTGGCACTGACGAGATTCGAACTCGCGAGGGTCGCCCCATTACGGATTGAGATCTAGAAGACCTAAACGTAACGCCGTAACCACTTGGCTACAGTACCATGATAATGTTGTGAATAATATCCAATATATCATGTATGATCTACAATGCAACAGGCTTGACGACCGGCCTCTAAGTCGAGTTGCCTCCTGCCTCTTCCTCCATCTTCGATGTCCACATCTATTCATCCTAGCGGAGGGCGACCTCTGGGTCCTCGCCCGAATAGGGCGCCGTCACCACTGCCGCCGACGGCGCCGCTCACGATTCGCAAACATCGGCAGCCCGACTCTACCCCAGCCTCGTCTTCTCCGCTACAGAACTCTGATCCTCCTCCCTCAGCGCCCAAACCGCGCCTTGCTGCGCCCAAGCTGGGTCTTGTCATGCCTGGAGCGCCCTCGCCTGCTCCAAGTGGTTCCAAACCTAAGCTTTCACTCGCACTGGGCGGCGGCGGGGCGGCACCTGCACCGCGGCCCGTTGAGCCCGATTCGCCGTCTGCAACTGGCTACGGACTGTTCTCGGGTGGTTACTATGGCGGGCCATCGCTTGCACCGCCGTCGAACATGTCTAACGGCGGGGGCAGTACCACCATTCGTCCTGGCGACCCGACGATCAACGCATCGCGCGGGCCGAGGGCGTACAGCATGGATGATCTCTCGCGAACGATCCATGATATCGAGACTCGAGGGAGTGCAGCTGCAACGCCCGATCCGAGCGCTACGATGGGCTCTGACAAGTCTCGGCCCGAGAGCGGAGAATATGTTATCGAACCGTACCCTTACTCGGAATGGAACGACGATGTTTTCGAGGATACGTCCCGAGACCAGGACACGCGGCTGGGCGAAGGTGCTGGCGGAGCTGTCAGCCAGGTCGTGGACAAGCGAACAGGCCTAATTATGGCCCGCAAGGCCATCCAGACGCGGGAGGCGCCGATGAAGCAGCTTCTGCGCGAGCTTAACCTCATCACTACGATCTCGCACCCGAACATCATTCGCTTTTATGGCGCATATATGTCCCCGTCGAGCTCAGAGGTCAAGGTCGTGATGGAGCTTTGCGAGGGCAAGTCCCTCGAGGCAGTCGGCCATCGCATCCGGGAGCGCGGTGCCCGGGTCGGAGAGAAGGTCGCCGGTAGACTCGCGGAAGGGGTTCGTTGTTGTTGTGCTCATCATGATGCACCGGCGCTGATCGACCTGCGGTTCGTTTGTAGATGCTGCAAGGCCTGGCATACTTACGCTCTAAGGACCTCATTCACCGTGACATAAAGCCTTCCAACGTTCTCTTGTCGCGCGATGGTGTGGTCAAGCTTTGCGACTTTGGCGTCTCCGGAGAGCTTATCGGTTCCGTCGTTGACACGTTCACGGGCACATCACTTTACATGGCCGTAAGCGCCCTTTTCCGCGCTCCGTTGCAACAATCACTAATGGGCGCTGCTTTGTTGTTGTATAGCCGGAGCGCTTGCAGGGACTGGAATATTCGATCCGCGCAGACGTCTGGTCTACCGGTCTCAGCCTTCTCGAGCTCGTCCAAAATCGCTTCCCCTTCAGCGGTGACTTGGCGCCCATCGAGCTCATGATTCATATCTCTTCAAGCGAAGTGAGTACAATGAATTCCGTTAATCTCCTGCTACCGTCGATCCTGACTTGGTTCTTCCTTCCAGCCGCCACAGTTGGAAGACGAGGACGGCTTCACGTGGTCGGACGCTATGAAGGACTTTATTCGGGAGACGTACGTGCCCTTCGCCCATGGAAGTCTTCACAACAGCTTACTCACGAACTGTCTTCCAGGCTGCGCGTTGACCCGGCCGAGCGCCCTACACCAAAGGACCTGCTTAACCATCCATGGATCGTGACCAACATGTCCTCGCACGTCAACATGGCACGCTGGCTGAGCGAGGTCTGGGGTTGGAAGTATGTCAAGCCGGAGAAAACGCGGCGGAGCGGGCACACGTCGTGAGTTTATCTTTCCACTCTTTCGCCCGTACTTAAGCTTCGTGGTGCGCATGATAAACATGAGGTACTGACGGACCGTTTCTTTGCTTTTCGCCACAGAACCTCGCGGCCAGGGACCAGTTCGAGCACGGGCCCGGCGCCCGCTATCGAAGTTTCTGGGCCATGATTCTATCTACCTCGTTCATACCCCGCTCTCTGACCCTTCGCCCTTTGCTGCTGGATCTCGACCCTCTTGCTTACTCCGCCCCTCGCCTTGGAACGTGTCTTCATCCAAATTCGACTCTACATCGCTCTCTCGCACTGCTCGCTCGCATCGCTATATACAACACAACACCGCAACGCATATCTGTTCCGCTCTCCCGCAGGGCACTCCTTCGCCTTTCTCCCAGCTTCTCGGTCTCTTCTGCGCATAGAGAGGCCGGTGAGGCTCGAGCGGGCGGTGTGAGGAGGGCCCATCTTTGCTTGGTCATTTACATATATGCATATGGATCGTTGAGGAGGGCATTGACTGGGAGGCCCTGGCTTGGTGGCCTGTTTGAGTACCCTCGTTCGTTTGTTTCGAAACCTGAAAATGTTGTTTGTGTCTGTGTTTACTTCACGTCCCGTGTTAACCCCCTGCCATCCGATTCAAAGCTATAAAGTTGTTACCTACTGTCATACGCACGTACCGAAACCTGGAAATTTGGATATCTGGATACATCTGCGTGTGCTTCGTTAAAAGCCCAAAGCCCTAGCCCGTTAAACTCCTTCAGCGTTGGAGCGCGGTGCGGCAGGGTGCGGCTCGTGCATTATACCTTCTGTGAGTTCAAGGCTGGGTTGCCAGGTACTTGTCGAGTATGTCCTCAACACATTGAGCAGCACTGAGACTGCGCAGCCTTCAGGGAAGAATATCTCGACTCTTCAACGCAAAGCATCGCATGCATGCACGAAGAATTAAAAGTTCGTTGGTAGATCAGAGCACCAAAGATGGGCTGCTGGTCATCATAGCATATCCAAAGCTGCCTCGGTCCTAACCCAGATATCGAGGCTTGAGCTTGGCATAATAGGATTTGGCTGCGACAAAAGACATGTATATGGACCACGGATGCCACGGATGCCGCGCCGTGAGCACGAGGCGCGTGTGTGAGCCTCGTGGCTCACAACAGATGGCAAGCACATTGATCGACAGTTCTGCGGAAATTGCCGCAGATAGAGTGTGTCGGACATTGTGCACCGCCTGCTGTGGTCGTTTCAAGGCCTCCGGGGTGATCGCATAATTGAACTGAATGGCCATCCGGTGGAAACCGTGTATCCCGGTAGCGAGAGCTCATCATGAGAACCTGACGATCTCAGACGATCTCTCGGCCAAGACGCGGCGACGGTCTCCTTGGGGAAGAGTACTTACATGGGTCACGTTGGGACTATGGCAGCAGTAAGTTTCCACGGAGGTCACTCTATTCAATGAGTTGAACGCGAACTATATGTCTTTATGTCAAAGGGGAGGGGAAAGGCCTCGAGCTTCAAGATGTATGTCCGAACTTGATGAGTGATTCGGGCAGCACTCGGGATGCGGGCAGGGCTGGGACTGCCGAAGTATCGTCTTGGCGTAAAACAACGAGTTTCAAAGCGGAGTCCCGAAGACGTATGCATGAGCGCTGTGAGTGAGAACTTGAACAGACCTATCTCTCGGTTCGGGCGTGCACAAATCTGAATGCAGTAGTATTACGCCCAAATGTGAGTGTAAGCAGAACCGTGGCCCACATCCCAATCCGCATCCTGGGTACCAAGTTGACTGTACAATGCAGATCGGTGAGAGCGGCGTTGCGAGAGTTGTATGGATCTCATTGAGGTTTCGAGTTGAATTGTGGGTTAAACACGGACATCCGTTGATGTTAAGGCGCTGGAAGGCTTACTGCGAGAGACAGCCAATTGTATTGTGCCTGCATTGTCGCAGTAGGTTTGTGACCTCGTGTTCTGCGTCCAGTATTATACGTACGTTCAACGATGATCGGTCACGGTCGGCGGGCAGGCGTCTTAAGCTACGCTAACAGCGACCTGCTGCAGACTGTTAGCGCGCGTCCGACGATATCTGGAATAATAAGCCAAGTCAGTCATGACACGACGGGAAGTTGCATTTGGTAACCCATTCGCAAAGCGTGGTCGATGAGCTACGAAGTATAGTCAGCAGGTACAAGCAGTTTCTGCGGCCCTGGCATGCTGACAAGAGACACAAGGAAGCACTTGGTACTTAGATGGAAGAATGTATGCATGATTGATAGTAGTACGCCGCCGAGTCGCGCGCTGTTCGCGTGAGGCAGGGACGTCTGTTGAGCGCTGAGCGTCAACCGCGACCATTCGTCGGAAAGTGACTAACGGATGAGCGCCGCGACCATCAGCTTCCCTTCTTCCGTCAGTGGAGAGCATATGAGGTGTTCAGTTTTCTTTCGCCGAATGGGACATCCGTGCACACTACAGATGGACGCTCCTGTACTTAGACGCGCGTTTCAAGCTAAGAGTGGGTATACCTAAGAACCGGCATGTATGGTTCGCCAGACATTCGCAGCTGATATCATCCCCGCTGCTAAGATAGGAAATCATGGTCCGCGCACGGGACATGGAGTTTGGGACGTTGGCGACAAGATGGACTCTTGATAGTGGGCAAATGCAGAGAAGTAGCAAGGAGTCGGCAAACTCGCGAATGTCGATGACTTGCGTAAAGCTGGATATAGTCCATACAGATACATAGCGCGGTTTCTCCGGAAGAACATTAAGCCCTATTCGCATCCCAGATACGCCTGCAACTGCGTATATCCAAGACTTTCGAGCCCATATACTTCACAAAGCGAGACAAGGAGGATAACATATGGTGTTTGCGCAGGGCAGCTGCCCTGCCCACTCAGATGAGATCGGCAGTGACATGCAAGCAAGACGGGGAGGTCCTGGAGATCTGGAGATGTGGCCGTGGCTAAACAGAGCTAAGCTATTGCCTTAGTGCGAAGCTTGGGCCACACCTGCGGAGAAGGACCTCGGCCGCGTCGGGGCTCAAACTTCAGGTAAATTGAATCGGTGGGAGATACCCCCTGGATAAGGATGACCTAGGCCGAAGCTAAAAACCTAAAGAAATCTTCTAGGACGA